GGTTTAATGAAAGTTCAAAATGTTTAAATGTTAGACAATTTGCAAAAAATTGTAAACAAAGTATTAGTAATGGTGATTTAGGTAAGATTCTCTTAAATTAAATTATTGCAAAAACGATGACAGCCGATCTCAGTATCTGTAACGTGTGAAGGAGGGGTTAACCCACGGCACTCAGAACTCACTAAGCCCATTGTGCATCCTCCTAAGTTGATAGAAACTTTCTAGCTCGTGAGCTAGCCTACAGATTTAATATAGTAAGCAACGTTGCTAAGAGATGCTTCCCTTATATCAGCCAATTCTCGCTAAACACAAGTCTTCTAATAAATGAGAGTGTCTGACAATCTTAGAGGGTATGCAATGGAGATGCTTACGTATTTGGCAATGACCAGTCAGAATGCCTGTGATCAGGCGCATATTCTGTCTAGTCATAGTCAAGTATTTGTTTGCTTCTTGTTTTATCCCCTCTTTTCTTGAATTTCACAAGAGAATGTCACTATCGATATTGTCAGTCCAATAGAAGGGCCAGGTTCAAATACTGGTGAACAAGTCAAATTGCGACAAAAAGAGCAGAATGTACCAATCTGAGACCAGCGTAGGGCAAGGGTAAACAAAATAAATACACAGAAAATAATCAAATCCAGCAAAATCTAAGAGGAGGATATGTTCCATGAGGAAAAGCTTATCAAATAATAATAGGAAAGATAAAACCTAGAAAGCTGAACATTTCGAGATAACTAAGAAAAAAAATCATAAAACACTTTTTCCGAAACAAGGGGAAAAAATTTGCTACCAGAAATAGGGCAAGAAGATAATATTCCAGATGCGATGGCAGATGAAGTCAACGCTCACAAACTAAAAAATAAAAAGGCCCCTGGTCTCGAGTGATCTCAAACGAAATCATTAAAGTTAGTTGTAAACCGTGCACCAGAAAATATACGGGAAACCATGGATTGCATAATTAAATAAAAATATATTACGGAAAGATACATTAGTATACATAAATTACATAAAATAGCTTAAATACATTATAAAAGTTAGGTACAAAAAATCTTAACATTAAATACATGAGATGAAATATATTAAAGTTATTAAAAACATATTCTCTTCACATCATTCTGGAATTGACTAATTGATCACCCAGTGACAGCTAAATTGTATTGATTAGCCAGTCTCATTAATCTATTTAGGGGCACATGATAAGCATAATTAGTGAGGTGAAGCTGAATTGCAAATGGACTATTATTCCTTGTAGTTCTTGTGGGAACTCTAAATGCAATCATGGATAATAACTCGTTAGAAGTAACAATACCAGCTATGGTCTTATAGAGGAATGACAGTTTCATAAGATTATTCGATTTATAAGGGTTGGAAGTTTTTTTGAGTTCAGAATTGTGGAATAATTATATGTACCTGTCGCTAGACCAAGTTTAAAGGCACCATATCGCAAATATTTATTTTGGACATTTTCAATCATTTTTACAGAGTTGTTGTAAAATGGACACCATATGGTAGAGCTGTACTCCAAAATCGACATAAACATAAACCATTTTACAGGCATCTAAAGATAGCGAGCTAGAGTTTCTTCACAGCATACCTAAAATTTTCATTGCTCTATTAACAATTTGATTAATATGATTATTAAAGGAAAGATCTGAGCAAAATAAGATTCCCAGGTCTTTAATTTAGGTAACACGTTTAATTGGCGTTTTGTTATCCAGACAGTAGTACTTACTACTGTTTGGGGTTAGACTATTAGAGGATGGCCATTCATATAAGGCATGGAAATCTTTTTCAAGTTTATTACAACAATCGCCACTGTTAACCTTTAAGTAAATCTTTAAATCATCGGCAAACAGCAGATTATTACTCTATTCAAAAACAGATCCAACATCATTAATAAATAAATTAAAAAATGTGGGTCCCCTTGCGGTACACCAGAAGAAACTTCTATGCGATCAGACATATAATTCTTTATCTTGACATGCTCCATTAGATAACTTTTAAGCCACTCTAGAAGAAAAGGTGAGAATCCGTAGGCTTGCATTTTGAGTAATAATAACTATTCGTGATTGACTTGATCAAACGCTTTAGAGAAGTCTGAATATATAGCATCTACTTGCAAACCGTTTTCTAGAGATTTATTATGTAATTGTGATAAATAACAAGATTAGTTGTAGTAGATTTTCTTTTTGTAAAACCGTGTTGCTGATTAATAAGTAAGTTTTTGCAGTGCCAAGATAAACAATTATTTACCAGCTTCTCCAATAATTTTGGAATAGAGGACTGAATCGAAATTGGTCTGTAGTTCTTAATATCCTGCTTGGATCCGCTTTTAAATACAAGTATAACATAACTCTCCTTTCACGAGTTAGGGAATTGTTGAAGTTTTAGTGAGAAATTAAACAATATGTGTAGTGGTTTACATAAAGAGTAAATGCACCGTTTTAGGAAATACGATGGAATTCCATCAGGACCACTACTTACTTTATCACGTAAGGTACTAATACTATAGAATATATACGCAATGGTAAAACATATAGGTCCAATATCAACTGAAAAGGTAAACCTTAAGTGACAGTTATCAGAGTTTAATTTATGATTATTAATATAATTTTTAGAAAAATATTTGGCAAATAGCGTAGAATTAGATTTACCATCGTTGCCTACATTGTCGTCCAGTGTCATCTGATTAGGAAGTTGAGAACTTTTATTTATTAAATTAAAGTAAGACTAGTACTGACGAGGATCATTTGAGATTGACCTATTAACATTGTTTATATAACTAGCATAGCACTCATTGGATAAAGTCTTACACCTGCATCTTAAACTTGAAAATTGTAAATAGTCTTCATAATTGGAAGTACTTTTGTATTTTGCATGAGCCCTCTTTTTTGTTGTTTAAGTTCAAGTTTGAACCAACCCAGGAAAGCAGATTACTTTGTTCGTTTTATTGGGACAAATAAGGCTAATGCAATATTGATTATTTGATAAAACTTAGCTATAGTTGAGTTAAAATTGTTTTTATCGAGAATTTGTTCCCAATTAATTGGTGCTAATAGTTATTCAACCCTCTATAATCAGCATTTTGGAAATCACAGTAATGTTCCGAGTATTGAAGATTTGTACAATTAACAGATAGAGTAGCCACAAGAGCAACATGGTGGTAGTTAATTAAAACAGGTTTAATCTCAGATGCGTGGAATACAGGCAAATTGATACTCTTTAAAAAAGCCAGGCAAAGCAGAGGAGCAACCAACGTCATGTACACCCATTCATCTTTTGAATTCAGTGGAAAAATTGACGGAACAGACAATAGTACGAGAATTGGAAGACGTATGTGCGGTCTAATGTCTTTTGAAGATTTTGTTACTATTGTTATATAAAAAATCAATATTCAAAAGATCATTCTTGTTTGTTGCTACAAAGAATATAGTGACATAACCACGGAATATAAATCTTACAGTTTTTTAATTTTAATAATCGTCTCAAAGAAGACCTTATTTTTATTATTATAAATATGAATTTTGTTTTTTTTGTGCATAAACTTGAATTAATTCAAAGGGTAAAACAGCCTTGTGTTAATCGTCATTTTCTTTTTTTTATAAATAATATTAAACAGGAATGGCACTTTTGGGCACAATATCCAAAACCCAAAGAAATCGCAAACAAGTAAAACTAAATAGCATTAGTATCAAACATGCAATTCAAAAGTAATACCTTTTCTTCATCAACACGTTACAGAAAAATTAGTGTAGGAAGAATGAGCCAAGAAGTGGATTAAACTACCCTACAATCGAGGCCTTAAAGCCTAAGGCTATTATTTAACAAGAAGAAGAAGAATAAGAAGAAGAAGAAGAAGAAGAAGAAGAAGAAGAAGAAGAAGAAGAAGAAGAAGAAGAAGAAGAAGAAGAAGAAGAAGAAGAAGAAGAAGAAGAAGAAGAAGAAGAAGAAGAAGAAGAAGAAGAAGAAGAAGAAGAAGAAGAAGAAGAAGAAGAAGAAGAAGAAGAAGAAGAAGAAGAAGAAGAAGAAGAAGAAGAAGAAGAAAAAGAAGAAGAAGAAGAAGAAGACGCTATGAAGCGTAACATAACGAAAAATGACTTGAATGAAAAATTCATAATCAGTTTTAAATAATAGTTTAATCTAATGATACCAGCATGAACACTATAGCTTGAATATACTCGTTTCATAATCAATTAAGTGACGTGAAAACTTTTGTCCCTTATCAATGAGCGATGTTCAGTCATAAATACTTCAGTTAAAAAAGGTTATTCAATAATTCTTTTATTCATGATTATTTTTTACTACAAATGTTATTTATGAAATAGCATGAAAACATATTTCCTGCGTACGTAACATTGTCAACATTAACAAAATATTTGTTTCATACTGGTACAGTTCGTATGACGCCAAAATCGTGCGTTGTCCGGAATTTTCATTTAAAAACTATTCAAGATATATTTTATTCACGTGTTAGTTGCTGGACAGACGTTTGTAGGAATGTAATGATGACACACTACGTATAAACACAAATTTTACCAAATACAAGGTAGTTCACTAAAGAGTCTCTTATTTGGTGTATAAAAAATGAAGAATTCTTAAAAATTCAAATTGTATGTACTATTTAAATTTATTTGTTTGTTTACATATCAGTCGTCTAAATTCAAAACCCGACATGTCCATTGAAAAGAACTTTAGGGATATCACAAAAAACATTTACAGCATCTAATACTTTTAATAGAAAATATACAACCTAATACATTATTTTATAAGGTAATTTGTGCACTGAAAAACTGGTTCACGAAAATATATTACGGTCTATAATTATTTAAATTAGGATTCAAATTTGGACTTGTCGAGTTTTTCTTATTAAGCGTGGTGACTTGTCGGGTTTTGACTATTAATTTTTATTTAGATTTACGGGAATTGGTATAACACAAACAATTTTGGTAATTCTTTATTATACGTATTTAAACTAAGTAGAATTACAAAATTTAAAAATTTTAAATATCAAAATCTAAAGTTTCTTCTAAACAAAGCAACTCTGTTCTAGCATCGGTGCCATTTTCTGAGGTTGATGTGGATGAGGCAGAATACGCATTGAAGATATTCTTGAAAAACGTCAAAGCGTTATCATTTCGCCAGTCACTTCCATAATGTTTTTCAATCAAATTACTAATACTCTTCTTTTTATCTGGTTTCAATGGATATCCAATATCTACAGTGCTTGGTTCAATTTGCAACTTTCTTCCCCTTCTTAGCAGCGATTGGTTTGTACCAATGTCTATCTGGATTTTTGACTTCCAGTCGTGTAATGGAACATCAACTCCCAACCTGTAGACACTTCCCCACTTCTCCATTATTTTAATGTATTGTTCTGGATTCTCAATTTCTGGTGTCTTTTTAATAACTTTCTCAATTTGTCCAAAAAGTCCATCTGGAGGGATGTAGGAATGACCTACAACCGGAAAAAACTATTTTAATTCTTTTTATGCTGGTTGCACTGAAATTCAACAACCAATTGGATAACATCCCAATGACAATGGAGTTCTTATTTTGTGCACCGCAGCCATTACAAAAAAGGCGAACAACTTTTGTGCAGTCACTAAACTAAAATGTTGTGAGAGTATGGTGAACAGCTGATGTTATTTCGTTGGACCCCCTTTGATGACCTAGTTTAGTCCATACATATGACTTAACTAAAGTTGGAATTGTCTTTCCTTTAGAACTCCCCTGCATAATTGCAAAGTGATAGAAATTTAGCTGCATACTAAAATAGGCAGCTTCATCTGCAATTTTTGGCAGAGCCAGATTTTTTTGACAATCAAAGCTAACTTTAATTACCTCATGATCATCATGGATTTCTCTCAGAAGCTCATAGAAGCATTTTGCTTTTGTAAGCTTTCTGTTAAGCAATTAATTAATTTTTATGCTATTGTCTAACGTATTCTTTATTTGATCTTTAAATTGCAGGCACGTTGAACACAAGTTAGTTTTAGGAGTACCACAACCAACATTGCATTTTGGTGTAAAGAAATATCTGAAAAAGGACTCCTTGACCCGGAGGTTCTTGTCAACGCCATTGTTAAGCATTCTCCAAAGTTGTCTTATACTTAGTTCCGCCTGCAAATAAAATCTATTGAATGTCAGATCGACAGTAGTGCGACTCTATACACCTTAGTGATTCAACAAATTTTTTTATGGCCGCTCGCTTTCTGTCTTTTTTCTCATTTGCTCGATTTCCTCCACGTCGTTCTTTGGGCATTTCATTGCTTTGCTCATAAGGTTTCACTATATTTAAGATTCTGTCTTTTGTCACTCCAAAAATATCCATAAAACTTTGCCTACATACATTAACCATTAATTCATCCCTTCTTTTGACATGGTACTTCACTGACATATATTTTGGCTTATTCTTTTCTTGTCTTCGTTTCCTTGGTCTTTTTGGCTCAGAAACACTGCAGTGCTTCAATATAAAATTGTCCTGTGCGAATTCTTCTGATGTTTTTTAAAATATTTAACATCTTTCATGGTAAGCAATGATATACATTGAAAGGGCTGGTATGGCTTACCCACATGTCCACATTTTGGAAACATTGGCAGTAACTTTGCAGAATACCTAGAAAACAATTAAAAGTAAATTACCATTCCAACTATGTAACTTCTACTTTCATCTTACCTATTGCGTTTTGCTATTTCGAGATTTATTATCTTTCGATGATTGAATATTTTTTGAGCAATTCAATTCACTCATACTTAATACTGAAATACTAATGACCTAGATGGCAAAAATTTAGCTTTAAGACTGAAAACACAAACAAACGAAAAGTTAAGGCCCAAAACCTCGTGAAGAACACCTGATTCATTAGACTCGATTCTTATTGGGCGACGTGGACAATGTGGACAGGTCGGTCTTTGAATTTGAACGAAGCGTGGACATGTCGGCTTTTGAATTTTAAGGGTATTTTCTATACTAAAAATAGCATGTAAGAAGTCGGTATTTGCACCAAAAATGTATAATTATTTGTAGTCCTTTAGATAAAGAATACAATGGTGTGTGTATAAAATTGAAATTCCAAAAAATGTGAATTGTCGGGTTTTGCATTTAGACGACTGATATCCAATACAAAAGCACTATGAAAGCACCAAATATAATTTTTTTGTGTCTATTATAAATAATTTTAACGTCTTCCATATTCTGCCTAACAACATCCTAGTCAGCTTTGACATCATCTCTTTATTCACGGATGTGCCACTCGAAGAAGTAGTCAGCTACAAAGGGGAGTTTTTTCCACTAAATTATGTTAACTAAATCATAAATGAACTTAAAAGGAAAAAAAATGCAATATGGAGATATTTAGGTTAATATTATGTGATGCATTGGATTACTAATAAAATTTGCTTTCAAATGAAGTGTCACACTTTACCATAGGTAATAATTTTTTTAGAATGAGATAGGTATTTCTGTTTATTGAGTTTGAAAGGAAAAGAGCGGAGAAAATAAATATCGATGAAATATTACGAAAATTCTACTTGAAAAATCCAATGTTTTTACTATATTAACATTTTTATCATATTTTGTTTCTCTGTTAGTTTTGGCGATTTGTAAATTTTTATAAATCGTTGTTTTTCATTCTGAAAAACTGATTTTTCAGGGGAGCAATTTAAAGTTTTGCGGCTAAATGAATACCAATTATTTTGAGAGTTATATCTTAAAATATTTTTGATTAGTGCTGTCGAAAATAATCAGAACTAAACATCCTCAAAAAAATGTATGACATGTTTATAAAAAAATGTAATTTTAGTTTAAAAAAATATGATACTTTTCCTGGAAAAAAATAAATATATTTGACATTAAATACGGTTATAATAAAATTTAAATAATAACAGTAATTCAGTTATATTTAATTTATAATCAAATTGTTTGTTTCTTTAGTATCTCATTCTAAAACATTTTTTTAAATATCTTTTAAATAACACGCCTGAACTGGCGTCTGGCGCGAACTAGGACATCGAATTGCTGTCTAGGAACCTCGACAGTCAATGTCGTCTTGGTTTAGCGGTAAGGGCATTTATCTGGAGAATAAAGATGTCTGGGTTCGAATCCCGTCGACGACAGGCTTGTTTTCAAATCTCCAAGTACTTGTTCTCACCTTTGCAGTTTGGGGATGGTCTTAATAATTCGTAGGGGGATTTTAGAGATTTTTTCCGCATTTTCAAATTATTTTACAACTTATTTCAGATATTTCTGACTTTTTATGTTTTAATTTACGTGCTTAACGTGCATTGAAAACTCACGCAGACGAAGATATGGAAGTATGCATCAATGCATTTCTCATATATACCGATGCTATATAGAGGTTTTTGAAACGGTGTCTGGCCCGAACTAGTACATCAAATTGCTGCCTAGGAATCTCGAATCTCTAATGGCATTTGTCTGTAGAACAAAGATGTATAGGATCGAATCCCGGCGACGAATAGGCTTTTTTCAAATCTCAAAGTATTTGTTTTCACCTTTGTGGCTCGGTGATGGTTTTATTAATTCGTAGGGGATTTTTGAGATTTGTTTTCGAATTTTTAAATTATTCTACAAAATATAAATTTCTTGCAGGAGGATTATGCATGATTGCATTTTTGAAAACGACACTATTCTTGAGAAGCAGCAAAATATGAAAGCATTTATTTAAAATATGTTCGACCCCCTCTTCACCTACGTCTTTGACTACCCTATACCCTCGACTCACCCAGAACGGTGTGCCCTATTTCAAATTTCCAATGCCCTACTTCAAAAGTGGTTCTGACTACGGCCCTGCGTATGGGAGAGGAATGACATAAATGATAGTTGAGGATATTATAGAAAGGCGTCCCCCTTGAAATAAAAATCGACCTGTTTTTGGGTTTCTTTCAAAAAAATTCTACTTTAAGATATTCTGAGATACGGCCAGTCGCCATCCTTAATGAATTACCCTGTACACAGGGTCACAGTAATAATTTGGCAATTATTTTGGATATCTGGATAATAATGTGAATGCTTAAAATTCGCCTTTTGTGAACAAAATTGGTTTAGTAGTTCAAGCCCTGGGCCTATAAGGGCTGCTATTCTGTTAAATAAACAAAAAATACGATCGTTTGATTTAGAAAATTATTTTACAAAGTGTAGACATAGGCATAACCTGCTCTGTATTTTCCATAAATTGAGCACTCTCCATAGTTGTTCTAACACTGCTATAAGCTGTAATTAGTATGCTGTCATTACCAAACCTGATGTTAATAATTCTGCAGACATCAATAAAAATAAATATTGAAAGAAAATCACTACGATTATTTGTGTACGCCCACAAATTTCACACTTCGCATGTTTTGAAGAATTTTCCACCTCCGTATCAAAAATAGCACCTCTTATTTTCAATATTTGATCAAGTCTGTTTTACTTTCCGAGCTGTTGACCTGAATAGAATATCGTTTCTCAAATAACTCATTGTCCTTCGATGTATTTTCGTTAAAATAACCGTGTTTTCATGACCTACCATAACCATAACGTCTCAGTCTGTGTTTGTAATTTTAATAGTGCTAATTTTCGTTGTTTTCACAGAGTCGACGTTATTATTTATCGACAACGGCAATAAAGGAAAACGTAAAATCAATTAGAAACAGCTATTTTTATACATAAATAAACAGTTTGTGTTTAACGGCACATACCTACAATGTTTTTACGGATAAGGGTGTTTTTTAACGGCTATTCTGTTTATAAAAAAACTAAAGCTTTCTTTTAGTACAGGGGTCTCCAAATTTTCTAACCTTAGGGCCATACTGATTACTCCAATTACTCCAATTGCTACACCTGTTTTAATGTTTCTGCAATATAACATATTATAAAGATGTTAAACAAAATTAAAACAAGTTAAATAAATCAAGATTTATTTTAAACAAATTTACCAATCCAATTTTGGAGTTAATTTGAACCGTTTTACAAATTGGTAATAATGAGAGATTTTTAAATCAAAATTCAGATTTTTAAGACTAATAAATTTATAGAAGTTAATAAATCAATAAATTTACCGTATAAACAAGGCTATAATTTTAAATAGAACGCTACTTATAGCGAATCTGAATAACTATATTTAAAAAATAAAATATTCGTTTCTAAACAATACTTCTTTTGTATTTATACTTCTTTTGTATTTATACTTCTTATTTACTGGATGACAACGTCGCAAACTATCGATCGATAAAATACTATACGTGACGTGACGTAAATAAAGCAAGGTTATTTTCAATTGCGGTGTTGTGACGTTTAACGCTTCTAAAATCCACGCATTTATTTGCAGACCTATTAATGGTGTTTGCCATAGTTTAACGATAGGTGCAAAAAACGCCCTGTATAATGGTCTAAAAAATAGGTTCTGCTAAAATATCAAGTCTGCTAAAAACAGTTAAAATAGTTTTGTACACATTTTATATGTTTTTATTAGAAATGTTTTGGGAAATATTGCAACAAATCTGCCCATAATGCATCGGAGTGGGAAACACTGCACTATGTACGAAAATGAATTGGTGGGAATGCTTTCAATATATCTCGAAACTATTCTAATTAATAAAACTTGTTGCTATTAGTGAGTTACAGGTAACAACAATTTTTAAATATGAAAGGAATAACCTACACAGTCTGGCAACAGCGCATCAGGCAACGCATGTCGATTCTTTTACGAAATAGCTACGTGCTACTTTTCTTTGCAATGTACGACCGGGTTTAAAGGTAAACAGAGGAGCTTTGGAATTAATCATACGGCCGAGAATATGGCTCACGCATTAACTGAAATATTAAAAGAGTGGAATATTGAAAATAAAATTACAAATATTGCTGCAAATATGTTAAAAACTAAAAAGCTACTAAAAAATGCATTTACCATGTTATGCGCACACTCTGAATTTGACAATACAAGAAAACTTTAAAGTTAGCCAAGCTGTAGTTAGAAAATGTAAAGATATAGTTAAATTTTTTAAGAGTAGCAATGTAGCAATGGATATGTTTAAAAAAGAGCAAAATATTGATACAATAACGAAGTTCATAAAAAATACAAACTGTTGGAACTACATGATTGAAGTAATCCTAAAAACGAATGATACAATTTGCAGAGCAATATTAAATTACGAAAGGCGCTTAATCCTCTTTAGGTTGACGAAATCGCTCTTTTACAGGTTTCTGTAAAAATTCTAAAATAACGTTTTGAAGAAGCTACGAGAAAAGTATCAGGTTAAATGATTCAATAAAGGAAATGTGTATGGTATTTATTTATTAGTAATTTTTTAGATAATAATGTAACGATGTCCCTGATAATTCCTTTGGAATTTATAATTATTTAACAACCATTTTAACGAAACTTGTGACAGAGGAAGGGATAATATTTTGTAATAGATTAATAGAATCAGTAAAAAAAGAGGTTGTTTTTATATGAAACCAGAACTATTACCAAATTGGCGACATTACTTAACACCAGGTTTAAGAAAGAAGAATTTCAAAGTAAGGATAATGTAGCATCGGCACTATCATTATTAGAAAATGAAATGTATCCTATAGTGTAAAAAAGGGAAGATATTAACGGGTCTTCAACCAACCAAACCCAGCAAACAATTCCAAAGCATCATACATCTTCGCTTTTTGTTTTCTTGGAATCGCGAATTTCTGGGAAATCAAAATCAATAACGGCAGATATCATAATTACAAAAAGGCAATATTTGGAAACACCCAATTCAAGTCAAGAAACTGTATCTTTGTTGTTTTGGAAGGTAAATAGGTAATTTATAAAAATATTATAAAAAAAGTCTATCAAAATATGCATTTTTTAGATATGTGACAAGGAGTTACCCCCTATAGATGATTGTGCTATTAAATATCTATGTGTTTCCGCAACATCAGTATCACTGGAAAGTAAGAGAAGCCTCAGTGCCGCTGGGCAAATCATCTTGGATAGGAGATCCAGACAATAAATTAATATTTTTGCATAAAAATAACACCACTTAGTAGTTTTTAGAAAGTACATGATGTTTAATAAAATATATAGTTTGTTTTCTTGCATAATTATTTCATATCGGAAAAACTATCGGAAACCATCGATAGTTGTGTACTATTAGGTATACCGTTTTTAACAAATGATTGATTTTACAGAAACAGAAGGGAAATTTTTTAAAAAGCTCTGCCGATTTTGACCTCTGACCTTCATAATAAACTGGAACTGCAAAACGATATAAACGTCACATGGCGAGGTGGTTTTTGACAAAGACACACATGGGCATATCCAAAGGAAGTAAAAGGCAACAACAAAGGTTTTATTTCGTAAAATAAAATCCATTTTAGGTTAGTTTGAAAATGAGTGGGACGATCTCATCGCCTTCCACTGCAACCCAGATGGGTCTATTGTAGCTCATGACTAACTTATAGTTCACCGTACAAGCCACACCTTTTGATAATGGTCATGGTTGAATTGGGTAAATCTGAAGATCTGGAACTTGGTTCTTTCCAGAGCGGAACAGGTACATAAAATGTGCTCTGCGGACTAGTCCTCCACGCTGCAGAATCGACAGTCCAATCTTTGTTGCAGACCTATCCTTCTCATGTGGTTACCCAGACGGTAGTGTCCTGTCATCAGTCCAGTGAAAATGCATAGATCTTTCCTACTCCATTCTCGGATATGAGCGGAGACGTTCATAGAAGGGTTGGTTATAAACGCCTTCGAATGGGTTAGCCCTGGGGTATCTCTCCAGTTCATGAGTGTTGCACCCTCCGTCCATTTTGAGATAATTCCCTTGGCAGTGGTTTTTGCAATGCCCAGGAATGCTTCTGGTCCTGTGAACACAGATTCGACTCCTCTTTTAGCAAGTTCGTTGGCTTTTTCGTTACCCTCCACACCGCTGTGCCCCGGAACCCAGATCCAAGTAACTTTGTTCCGGGCACCGAGGCACTCTAGGGTCTTTATACAGTTCCAAACCAGCTTTGAGTGAACTCGATTAGAGCTCAGGGCCTTAAGGGCTGCCTGGCTATCTGAAAAGATCTTCATAGTCTTGTTTGCGGGGAGAAAGTTAAAATCCATTTTGTTCTTTGGTGAAAAATCTTGCTTAAGTAGACTGTGAATGAATGCTTTACATTAAAGAAATATAGTTTCGGTTAGGTTAAAAATGAGTGAGATGATCTATTCGCCTTTCAATACGATCCAGGGGGCCAATTCTCGACTTGTAAAAACCTTTTCCTATAGGAATTTGTGACACTTTCCTATGTGTAGAAAAATGTCATAAATTTCTGATGTATAGAAAAATGTCATAAATTCCTATAGGAAAAAATTACTATCGAGAATCGACCCCTGATGGATTTATTATGTCTCACGTCTAACTTGTAATTCACTTTATAACCCACACTTGTTGGTGAAAGCCATGAATGCGTTGCATGATCTAAGTGAATATGAAGGAGCAGGGCACCCAAATAATTGCACAATAAGCTATCTGAGCTTCAGAGCCACCTTGCGAACTTCAGAGGAGCGAACGCAGGCTAGACCCCCAAGGAACACAAAAGTTATATAAGGGTTATAAAGTATACGTTTTACAGTAGTTGCAATAAAAAAACGTTGTTAACAGTTGTTATATTATAATATAATTTGGTTTCGTCTATAGGTTATTATTTATATATTTAAAGAAGACTGATAGGTATAAACATTTTAGAGTTACTTCGTACAAAATGACATAACATCATAAATATACCACTAATGCTAACTAGATAACCCTTAATATTAAACATATATTTTGTGTAATCTACATTCTACCTAAATTCTCTGATAAAAAAAATATAAAGTAACATTTAATTTTGATTTGTAAAAATTAGTGCGCCTTATCTCTTAACTCTTAGCCACTACCTACCCAGAAGTGTCACAGTATTACCCACGGGTCATAACGACCCATTCTTTTTGTTTTTTCCATATAAAAAAAAAAACTTCAAAATTGAGGTAATAACTAACATTTATTTAAATATGTTATAAACTCAAGTCGATATGCAACATGTCTTTAACACGTTTTGGGCACATATTTTTTAAAGCATTGCTGAAAAATTGGAGATTTCCAGGAATCACGAAGCGTACTAAATTTTCTGTCACTTTTTGTGGGTAAAAAAGCACATAGTTTCTTTTTTCATGCGGATGGACGTTGTATAGGTACTTCTTTAACG